AGTCTTACTTGGTTGCCCAGGGTGGAGTGCAGTGGTGCGGTCTTGGCTAACTGCAACCTCCACCTCCCAGTTCAAGTGATTCTCCTGCCTCAGCCTCCCAGGTAGCTGGGATTACAGCTAGTGGATTACACCCACTACCACGCCTGGCTAATTTTTGTATTTTTAGTAGAGACAAGATTTCACCATGTTGGCCAGGCTGGTCTCAAACACCTGACCTCAAGTGATCTGCCTGCTTCGGCTTACCAAAGTGCTGTGATTACAGGTATGAGCCACCTTGCCTGGCCTACAGTCAGGTTCTAATCCTCCTGTTAAAATTTAATTTAGGGCTGGACACCATAGCTCACGCCTGCAATCCCAGCACTTTGGGAAGCCAAGGAAGGCAAATCACCTGAGGTCAGGAATTTGAGACCAGCCTGGCCAACATGGTGAAATACATCTATACTGAAAATATAAAAATTAGCCAGATGTGGTGGTGGGCACCTGTAATGCTAGCTACTAGGGAGGCAGAGGTTGCAGTGAGCCAAGATGGTGCCACTGCATTCCAGCCTGGGCAACAGAGTGAGACTCTGTCTCAAAAAACAAACAAAAAAAGCTGGGTGCTGTGGCTCACACCTGTAATCCCAGCAGTTTGGGAGGCCGAGGCAGGGCGGATCACAAAGTCAAGAGATCAAAACCATCCTGGTCAACATGGTGAAACCCCGTCTCTATTAAAAAAATACAAAAAATTAGCTGGGCATGGTGGCACGTGCCTGTAACCCCAGCTACTAAGGAGGCTGAGGCAGGAGAATTGCCTGAACCCAGGAGGCGGAGGTTGTGGTGAGCCGAGATCGCGTCATTGCACTCCAGCCTGGGTAACAAGAGCAAAACTCCATCTTAAAAAAACAAACAAACAAACAAACAAAAAATTAGTTGGGCATGGTGGCGCGTACGTGTATCCCAGCTACTCGGGAGCTGAGGCAGGAGAATCACTTGAACCGGGTGCTGGGGGTTAAAGTGAGCTGATCGTACCACTGCACTCCAGCCTGGCTACAGAGCGAGACTCCGTCTCAATTAAAGAAAGAAATATTACTCAGGAGGCTGAGGCAGGAGAATTGCTTGAATCCAGGAAGTGGAAGTTTCAGTGAGCCGAGGTTGTACCACTGTACTCCAGCCTGGGTGACAGAGTGAGACCCTGTCTCAAACAAAAGAAAAAATATATACGTAATTGTGAAAAATATTTTTTGTTTAACCTTAAATATCTAAAATATCACCTCAACATTTCTCTCTCTCTCTCTCTCTCTCGCTCTGTGTGTGTGTATATTTTTTTGTGATGGAGTCTCACTCTGTTACACAGGCTGGAGTGCAGTAGTATGATCTTGGCTCACTGCAACCTCTGCCTCCTTGGATCAAGTGATTCTCCTGCCTCAGCCTCCTGAGTAGCTGGAATTACAGGTGTGTGCCACTACACCTGGCTCATTTTTGTATTTTTAGTAGAGACGGGGTTTCACCATGTTGGCCAGACTGGTCTCAAATTCCTGACCTCAAGTGATCCACTCATCTCAGCCTCCCAAAGTATTGGGATTACAGGCGTGAGCCACCACACCAGGCCTCAATATATATATATTTTTATACTAAGTATTTGAAATCCAGGATTTGTTTTATATTCATAGCCCATCTTGATTTGGACTGCCACATTTCAAGTGCTCAATAGCCATACGTGGCTAGTGGCTACTGTTATTGTACAGTACAGCTCCAGAGTTTTCTTTGTAGAGATTTAAAACCATTCCATTTGATTGGTGATAAGTTGTCAGGGAAGGAGCAGAACATTTGTTCATGAACTTGGGTTGCCTTGTTCACTGAAAAGATTTTTTTGGGCCAGGGCCATTGCCTCATGCCTGTAGTATCCAGCTACCTGAGAGGCTGAGGTAGGAGGTTCACTTGAGGCCAGGAGTTTGAGACCAGCCTGGAAAACATTGTAAGATCTTGTCTCTAAAAAAATTTTAACTAAAAAAAAAAAAAAAAAATTAGTGAGTCATGGTGGTGTGTGCCTGTAGTCCCAAGAGGCTGAGGTGGGAGGATTGCTTGTGCCCAGGAGTTAGAGGCTGTTGTGAGCTGTGATTGCCAATGCACTCCAGCCTGGGCAACAAAGTGAGAACATGCCTCTTAAAAAAAAAAGATTTTTGAAAAGATTTCAGTTCAGATCGTCTATTGAAAGTAAAAGGCCAAGCCCAAATTATTGGTTTGAAAGGAAAGGAACAATTCTGAAACAGGAACGTCTTCTAGGGGCATGGTGGCTTGTGCCTGTAGTCCCAGCTACTTGGAACTACTTGGGAGGCTGAGGCAGAAGTGCCTCAACCCAGGAAGCGGAAGTTGCAGTGAACCGAGATCGCGCCACTGCACTCCAGCCTCGGTGACAGAGCAAGACTCCGTCTCAAAAAAAGAAAAAAAAAATACAAAAGTTAGCTGGACTTGCTGGCGTGTGCCTGTAGTCCCAGCTACTTGGGAGGCCGAGGCAGGAGAATTGCCGAAACCCGGGAGGCAGAGTTTGCATTGAGCTGAGATCATGGCACTGCACTCCAGCCTGGGTGGCAGAGTGAGACTCTGTCCAGAAAAAAAAAAAGCTATTCAAGATGGTATTTAAGCTTCTTTAAAAATTGATATGGGCTGGGTGAGATGGCTCACGCCTGTAACCCCAGGGAGGCTGAGGAGGGCGCAGATCGAGACTATCCTGCCAGCTTGGTGAAACCCTGTCTCTACTAAAATACAGAAGTTAATTGGGCGTGGTGACACATGCCTGTAATCTCAGCTACTCAGGAGGCTGAGGCAGGAGAATTGCTTGAACTTAGGAGATGGAGGCTGCAGTGAGCTGCGATCCTGCCACTGTAATCCATATTCCAGCCTGGGCAACAGAGGAGAGTTCATCTCAAAAAAATAAATTGATATTATGGATCCTGAAATTGTTTCTTCATGATTGGCTATAGAGGTGTCATAATTTAATCATCATTGTCTTTCAGTACCATGCGGGATACTATGAAGTATGTCTATGGACACCATGGAATTCGGAAAGGACTCTATCGTGGTTTATCTCTTAATTACATTCGCTGCGTTCCCTCTCAAGCAGTAGCTTTTACAACATATGAACTTATGAAGCAGTTTTTTCACCTCAACTGAAAAAAAAATCATGGTTTGTTTTTCTTAATACATTCTCAGAGGGCAAAATGAAATATTACTTTAATTGTGGGGGGAACAGTACTTGAATGGGGATAGTTACCCTGTCACAGGAACCACTGGTATTTTAGTACTTGATTATTTTTTCTTTAGTCACAAATCAGAAGTGCTTACCATACTTCTTGATGCCAAACATTATACCTTAGAACACTGAAAAAATATTCTTAAGCTGATGGTGGCTAAACCGCTTTAAAGCTTTATTTGGAAGTAGAACTAGCTTTAAAACGGGGTTCAAGAGGTTGCCATTAACTTTTTCTTGCTGTTCAAACTTTTTTGTTTTTTTCTTTGAGACAGAGTCTTGCTCTGTCGTCCAGGCTGGAGGCAGTGGCATGATCTTGGGTCACTGCATCCTCCACCTCCCTGGTTCAAGCAATTCTCTGCCTCAGCCTCGAAGTAGCTGGGATTACAGGTATCCACCACAACGCTTGGCTAATTTTTTGTATTTTCAGTAGAGATGGGGTTTCACCGTCTTGGCCAGGTTGGTCTTGAAGTCCTGACCTCATGATCTACTCCCTCTCAGCCTCCCAAAGTGCTGGGATTACAGGCCTGAGCCACCCTGCCTGCCTGTTCAAAGTTTTTAATTGTATTCTTGGTTTTTAAAAGACTGACAGTGTTTATTATTATTAAAATAAGCTGGGTTGGTTATATTGCAGTAGAGTAATGAGAACTGAATTTTTAAGTTCTATAAAACAGTCAGCATTGAAGTTTTATTTTCGTTATCTCTCTTCTCACCATTCTGCTCCACTGGATAATAGAGAACGAACTTTTTCCTTCATTTTTTTTTCTTTCATTTTTAAAATAAAATTAAGGTTATATTTAAAAAGTAGCCATGTAGAGACTAAAAAATAAATGAAGAAGCTAGGTACTGTAGCATGGGCATGTGGTCCCAGCTACTCCGGAAGCTGAGGTGGGAGGTTCACTTGAGCCCTGGAATTCCATGCTAGCCTGTGCAACATCATGAGACCCCGTTTAATAAATGAATGAATGACTAAGTTTTGCTCAAATGTTATTACTAGGTACTATGAGTGACTTACATGTGTTTTAAAAAGTCAGTGTGTTTCACAGAAACAGAAACAAAAATACTGAATATCTTTGCTCTCAAAAACAAAGTAGCATTACAGATTTGTTTTTGTTTGTTAGATGATTTGCTGTATATAAGAATATTTATTTAAGTAGGCTGTGAAATATTTATTAATATAGATGTGAATATCAAAAAATGTTTCTAAGGTATTATGTCATGAGGCATCAACTAGTTCTTCCATGTAAAATAATTTTAGTGCAATATAAAGATGTAGAAATTTAAAATATGATTTGAATTGTTATCCTTTATATTAAGAAAATGGTTTAAAATGTAAGAATTCCATTTATTGTGTTTAGAGTACTTTTTATGATTTATTATAAGCATGGCAGAAATAGGAAGGAAACATTTAAAGTTCTGTCTTCAGAAAGAGTAATTTGTAGAATTGATGTGATTTTCAAGACATTAAAAGGCCAGGCACGGTGGCTTATACCTTTATTCCCAGCACTTTGGGTGGCCGAGTCGGGTGGATCACCTGAGATCAGGAGTTCAGGACCAACATGGTGAAACCCACCTCTACTAAAAATACAAAAATTAGCCAGCATGGTGGCATGTGCCTATAGTCCCAGCTACTTGGGAGGCTGAGACTTGAGTCGGGGAGGTAGAGGTTGCAATGAGCTGAGATCACACCACTGTACTCCAGCCTGGGTGACAGAGTGAGACTCCATCTCAAAAGAGAAAAAAGACATTAGAAAACTAAGTTGAGGCCAGAAGTGTTGGCTCTCGCCTGGAATCCCAGCACTTTGGGAGGCCAAGGCAGGAGGATATCTTGACCCCAGGAGTTCGAAACCAGACTGGGTAACATAGTAAGAACCCGTCTCTTTCAAACAAATGAAAGAAAACTAAGTTGAAAGTTTTGCTTCAATTTTTATTTCTTTGCATAAAAGGTTTCTTGTCATATCTTGGTAAAAATTTGATGAGCTGGTTTCACTTTGAAAGTCTTTATTTTGGCCGGGCATAGTGGCTCACGCCTGTAATCCAGCATTTTGGGAGGCCGAGGCAGGTGGATCACCTGAGGTCAGGAGATTGAGACCAGCCTAGCCAACATGGAGAAACCCCATCTCTACTAAAAGTATAAAAATTAGCCCGGCGTACTGGCGGGCACCTGTAATCCCAGCTACTTGGGAGGCTGAGACAGGGAGAATTGCATGAACCCAGGAGGCAGAGGTTGCAATGAGCTGAGACTGTGCCACTGCGCTCCAGTCTGAGCGGCAGAGCCAGACTCTTGTCTCAAAAAAAAAAAAAGAAAAGAAAAAAAGAAATACATTTGTTCTGCCGGGCGCGGTGGCTCACGCCTGTAATCCCAGCACTTTGGGAGGCCGAGGCGGGTGGATCACGAGGTCAAGAGATCGAGACCATCCTGGTCAACATGGTGAAACCCCGTCTCTACTAAAAGTACAAAAATTAGCTGGGCATGGTGGCGCATGCTTGTAATCCCAGCTACTCAGGAAGCTGAGGCAGGAGAATTGCCTGGACCCAGGAGGCAGAGGTTGCGGTGAGCCGAGATCGCGCCATTGCACTCCAGCCTGGGTAACAAGAGCGAAACTCCGTTTCAAAAGAAAAAAAATACATTTGTTCTTCAAACCATTTTGTGTAGTTTCATTTCTAGACCACACTGTGGTTAATTATTCTTATTAAATCTTAAGATAATTTAAGTATGTAAAATAAATATCGGGCCAGGCGTGGTGGCTCATGCCTGTAATCCCAGCACTTTGGGAGGCCGAGGTGGGTGGATCACGAGGTCAGGAGATTGAGACCATGCTGGCTAACACAGTGAAACCCCTATCTCTACTAAAAGTACAAAAAATTAGCCAGGCGTGGTAGCACCTGCCTGCGGGCCCAGCTACTCAGGAGGCTGAGGCAGGAAAATTGCTTGAACCCAGGAGGTGGAGGTTGCAGTGAGCTGAGATTGCGCCATTGCAGTCCAGCCTGGGTGACAGAGCAAGACACTGTCTCAAAAAAAAAAAAAAAAAAAAAAGCGTCTCAGTTATGTTGTCAGTAAAAGGGGATTGCAAATATTTTTTAAATAAAAATTTGCACTCTATTTCTGTTATAGAATACAGAGGATATTAAAAATTCATTTTATCCATGTGTTAACAATTTCTTTTAACTGTTTACACGTTGAAGCACAGATGCTAAACATAAGTCAGAATGGAAGACTGTTTAAAATAATGACTTTGTTTATATCTGATTTATTTCAGATAGATTACCCAAAGTGCATCTTGCCAGGTTATCTTCCATTTGAAGATTGAGATTTTATGTCTTTTTTGAACTTTATTGTTCCTCTCTTCCAGCTCTCAGTGGGTATAGCTCTCTGGTCTGTATAATGGGACAGTGGTCTGGCCTACGGATTGATAAGTGAGGTTTGCCTCCTAGTTTTCAGTGATTGCCTGTAGAAGATGGAGAAGTTACTGGATATATTTAATGATATCTCATTTCATTCCTTTTTTTTTTTTTAAATGATAGAGTTTTACTTGGTTGCCAAGCTGGAGGGCAGTGGCGTGATCTTGGCTCACTGTAACTTCCACCTCCGGGGTTCAAACGATTCTCCTTTGTCATCTTTCTAAGTAACTGAGATTACCTCCATGTCCTACCATGTCTAGCTGAGTTTTATATTTTTCTTTTTTCTTTT